GTGCTGAGCTGTGCTGTGTGCTGAGCTGAGCTGAGCTGTGTGCTGTGCTGAGCTGAGCTGTGCTGTGCTGTGCTGTGATGTGCTGTGCTGAGCTGTGCTGTACGAAGAGCGAGGTGTGCGTCGCGGGTGCGGCGCGGCAGGGAAGAAAACCAGAACCCCACGAAGCATGCGGGGAAAAATCGAAGTCGATCTCGCGCTGGCGATGATCGAGCAACAGGTTGTGCCGAGCTAGCTGGCAGCCAGCCCTGGCGAGGCTGAGCACGGCAGCCTGGCCTGGGCCAGCGCGCCTGTTCCACGGCTTGTCGACGCCCAGCTGCTGCGCGGCGTCAGCGTAAACCACTCTGTGAACTTCTTGCTGGAGGAGCCCGTCTGGAACTCCGTTGGACCACGCCTTGGCCACCTCCACCGCGCTGACCGCGAACGGGCGCCTGCCCGCTGCCCTCGGCATGCTGCGCACCCTGAAGGCCAGGCAGGTGCCGGGGGCCAGCCTGCCCTCGGCCCTGAGCGCGCGCACCCTAAGCCCGCTCAGCTCACCGTCTGCGATGTCAGTGACCGACGATCCCCAGCACGCCGCGGCGCACGGTGAGCCACGGAAGATGTGGCACGTCTTGGCCCCCGCGGCTTGCAGCAGCTCGATCCTGCCTGCTACCCTCTTGGCGCGGGCGAGCCTCTTGTCCTGCTCTGGCACTCGCCTCCTGCCGCCGTCGTTGCCGCCGCCTCCAAGGCATCTCATGCCCGAGGCTCTGGCCAGGCCAAGGTCAGACCAGCGGCGGTCCAGCTCCTGAGCCAGCTCCGCATCCGTGGCCATCCACCCCGTCTTGCCCCAGTTGATCGCGAGGCGCCTCCGACGCAGCCCCTCGAAGAGGTCGCGAGCAGCTCGGGGCAGCTGGCGCCCCACCAGGCGAGCCGCGCCGACTGCCTGGAGGGGGGGCAGTCGCCCACCAGGCTCTGAGCCCGCACCAGAGGGCACCCGCTGACGACGCTGCGCAGCAGGGTGTAGGTCAGCAGCTTGGCGACACCCACCGCGCACGAGCAGCCCGCTGCCGCGGCACCGCTGGCTTCGATGATGGGCCCGACCCCATTGCCCCGCATCGCCCTGCGCGGAAGGCGGTAGCACGAGCAGAGGGCCCTGAGCAGCACCACGGGGAGCTCCGTCGCGACCGCCTGGTCGTAGAGCTCGTCGCGGCCGATCATCTCGCAGTACTTCGCGAGGTCGATCGCCAGGGTGCTGGACGCCATGCCTGTCTTCCTCGCGAACGCTGTCATCACGTTGTGCACGAACCCGGCCTTGTCGCACGAGCGGTCGGAGGTGCCACAGTGGAGGGACTAGTCGATCCTGCACTCCCACGCTGCAACAATCGGCTGGCGCAGCTTAGACCAGACCCGAGCCCAGAGGCTGGCCAGGATGATGGGCCGCACACCTCCAGGCGGGGGCTTCGGCAGGAAGACCACCAGCAGCATCCACAGCGAGCATCTCGTCGGCCGCCTCTCCCAGGCTTCCACGATGTGGCGCGGCAGCCACCGAAGCTGCCGTGGGCGCAGGCGGCCCCACCCAAGGCCTGTGCCCTCCCCATGGGATGCCAGCCGGAGTCCAGCGCGTCCATGGTAATGGGCGGGAGGCCACGCCAGGCGCCCCCTGCGCCGCTCGCCCAGAGCCGTGGGTCTGAGCCCCCTTGTCTGTCGGGGTGAACCCAGAGGTTCCCCCATTCCTTCATCAGCACCTTCATGGCAGCATCACCTGCCTCTGGGAGGCCAGGGTCGCTCTCGTCGTCATCGTGCGCGATCACCGTCGATGGGGTCAGGCTGCCATCCTTGATGAAACGGCATGCCTTCTGGCCACCTGACTTGGCGACTGCTTCGTGCGCCCACTCTCTCCATTCCTTGCTGCGCTTGGCCTTGCCCCTCCTCTGGATGGAGGCCACGTGGTCGTGGAGGTCGACCAGGAGGGCGTGGTAGTCGTGCAAGTCCAGCTCCTGGAACGCGCGCGTCATTGCATGTTGGCCCCAGGCAGCGAGCGGCCCAGACGTCGGCCACCCGCTCTGTCGAACACGAACGCACGCACTAAGCGGACCTGGCGCTCAAAGCGGGAGTACCTGACCCAGCCGTTGTCCAGCTGGTGCTCACGGAGAGTGGCCGTCTTCCTGCAAGACGCCAGCAGGCCAGCCCACTTGCGGCGGCACTCGACGCTGGACGTCTCCTTCCGCGTGTCCCCCCGCTCCTGGGCCAGGGGAACAGTCTCCACCTGCAGACCTCTGCCTCTGGCCACTCTGCACCGCTCGTGATCTTCCAGCTGGTGAAGCCTGCCGAGGGAGTCCCCAACCATGGCGTACCAGTAGTTCGAGGCTTCCTCAACATCCGTGGGTACAGCCCTTGAGCACCACGGCCATTCGTCTTCAGCTAGCTCGGGCGGCGCTGCCTGCAGGAAGAGGCAAGGCCAGCGGGTGCCGACTGGCGTAGACCGCCCTGGCGACCGTGGCTCTCCGGCGCAGGCCATTCAGCT